ATTTGTAAATCTTATCAGAGTAGTAGTCGAAAAAAATATTTATCATTGATTAAATGTTTTCATTGATGATATAATTACTTAAAGAAAAATGTGTATGTTTAAAAAATCTGTGTCAAAAATACATGTGATATTTAAAAATTGCTTTTTATAAACGTAGCTTTTCTTTTTTGATTTTAGTCAAATAAAAAGGAATAGATGGCACCTTTGCCTAATTAACACTGTCATAAAAAAGAAAAGAAGTAGGGCTTTTGAAGTCGTTCCATCCCCTTCTCTGTCTCAATGGTCACTATAGTTATCAAATTACCCTGCACAAAAGGTAGTGCGCCTGATCGATCTGCCCATACCATTGGCATATTGTAGAGGCCAATACTCTATTTCTTTGGTGTTTTTATCAGTGGCGCTTCTGGAACTGCTATGGGGTGTAAAGGGTTAACGTTGTCAACTTTTGTGCTTTTTTCAATTTAAACGGTTTCAAATTTAATTCCTTGATTGTTCTTTGCACTGATGTTCTTTTACCTTGTGTCGTTGTAATTCAAATACCACTTTTCTTTGACTTTGCCCCTTTTTTAAATGGAGTAACCGTTTCACTGTTTTCTTCAATTGTTCCGTTCGAACGGTTCGTGGTGCACCGCATCTTGATCTGTTTTCTATTCTTCCTCGTTGTAATATCCAATTTATTTTTCTGCGTAATGCACCACGATGCAATGAAGGTGGATTTTCATAAGTCTGTATTTCATCAGCAATGTTGGCTGCCATCCACGTTGGATTCATTTCCTTCAACGAAAGAACAATCCCACGGAATTGTTCTTCCAGACTGAACATGTCTGTCATCTTGTTATTCGACGTAGACAATCGAGTGCGATGATTGTCCCGGTTAATTTTTATTTTTTATGATGCACATGTCGATGCTCATAACTTTCTTACAATTAGCGAGGATCAACCAGAAGCTATTTTGTAGAGCGTCTTATATTCCATCTTCCTATCATCGAGACAATTTTTCAAAGACTTGTTTTGATATAAAAAAATTGGTGATACAAATCGAGTCAGGACTTCTGGGTCACCTTTTATATTACATAGTTCGTTTAGGGAGTTTATTTAAAAAAGAGAAAAGACGTTTGTCAAAAGCTGTTGTCGATTAAGATTAGTATTGTTCTTGTTTATAGACTATTCTAGAAAAAATACGCTGTCATATTCCCAGAAGTTACAGTGCTATCACTGTTGAAAGCTGTTGGAAAAGTTACTTTGTTGTGGCTGACAACTTAAGTAAAAATAAGAAATATTCCGTCTTCTGACCTGATTAATCTCAGTTTGTCTCGCAAGAGAATCTTGCTTTAAAAACGTTTATGTTAGTCACTTCTGTTTTTAAGCTCGATTCCAAACAATGGGATACGCTCTGTATTTCATATTAAAAAGGTAACGTAGTCAACGCATGAGCGTTTAGAAATATAGCTGAACTGGTGTATATTACTGAAACAAACTCACTAACATTAATATTTATTACCGAACAGGGTATATTCACAGTTTTCCTTGAAAGCTCACATTGGTGAGCTCGCAAAAACAATCCAATTTGTTGGGTTATTACACGTGGAGCTGAATCTCGATAAATAATCCAAAAAATTGGGCCGTTTTTGCTTGGGTACTATCATTGCCCCTTTTGTTTTGCTGTCATTCATCTGTATAAGGAAAACCGAAAATGTGAGTAATTTTATAGCTGTTTTTCTTCCAGACTGTGCTATACTTGCTCTGTCAAAGTTTTCAACAAGTGTTTAGAGAAAGTACATGCAGGTCAAGGTTAATGATACATCCGAAAATATGAAATTTCTCTTCATTCTTCAATCCTGATCAGCTGCTGGTTTGGATAACGTAGGTTAAAAATTCAAAAATTCTCAGCGAATCTCGAATGAATATTGTTAAAAGAAGGTCGTCGTTTTTACGATTAGAGTCCTAAGGATTCTTACGCAACCTTGAAAAAATCTTAGACAGTATAATCTTACTAAGATCTTAGTAAAATCTTATCAGATCTTGAAATTTAACGATCTTAATAAGATTAGAGTAAGTTTCTCACTAGGGATTTATTTTAAATGAATATAAAAATAACATTTTTCCAAAACTCAGCACACTGTTGTCCAAAATGGATAGAAAATCATTTCAGATAATCTGAATCGAACTTTTCTCTAAAATGTTTGCATCTACTTATTTGCAAGCTATGTATAAAACATTGTGTACAAGCTTTAACATCTTCATCCTCACGTCAAAAAATTTTGGAATATTAGGCTTTGTGTCAATAATTTATGTTTCAAACAGCGCGATCAACAATATGACTAGTCGAGGGGTTACTGCAAATAATGGGGTTAGGACCCATGTCGCACTATTTTTCGTAATACCGCCGGTTTATAGATTATCGCTGGTTAACCGTACCGTTCGGTATAACGGCCGATTTTTCTTCTGCCGACGGTTACTGTACGGTATTTTTCAGACCACGGTACAAGAAAAAACCGTCGGTAAACCGTTTTGACACAATTGCCTTTTTGTTCTGCAGCTGGCAGTCTATATAAGAAACGCGGAAAAGTCAGAAAACTTTGATTCTTTTTCAGATTAAACTTTCTCCTTCAGATTACAGAGACTCGTCGAAGTGAGTAAAATTAAAAAATTCATAACCCAGCCAAGATCCATCCAAATTACATTAGAATATCCAGATGTATTCTATTTTACCTGCTCTATATGATGCAGCTCAATAACAGCTACTACAGCCAACAAAAAATACTTTGATGTTCGAAAGGCTTTTCTAGACATCTTCCCTAAGCTGGGCAACTGCGTTGACTTTCAACTCTAACTCTACTCCAACTCAACTCCGTTTTCAAATTTCCAACTCCAACTCCGCTCAAAATTTTTCAATTCCAACCCCAACTCTTTCAACGAAAATCTCCACTCCAGTTCAACTCCGGTTGCCTCACTTTTGTAAGGAAGATTTTTCGGTTTTTAGCGGGATTCTGAACGTTTTTAAGCTTTTTCCGGCAGGAAAAAGTTCTTAGAAAAGAAAAAGACATGCATTATATCCACAATGATTGTTAATCCTAAGTTCTTCTTAGAAAAGAAAAAGATATGCATTATATGATTAACAATCATTGTAGATATGTCTTAGATCGTACATCAAGTAAGCCCAGTATGACTTAATGGGGTAAATCTACAATAGGTAATTGCAAGGTGTCCTCCACCCTGGAGTCCGGAACGGAGACAACGGTAATCACGATCGTCACTGAGACAATTAATATAAGCATCGTAGTCATTTTTGTAGTTAGTTATTCAGGACTGAATACATCTCATCAGCCGCATCGCACACAAACATATGAATTATGCAAAAGACACAGATGCACAGGAAGAAGTTTTCACACAACAGACTTTCTTGTGTTCTATTTCGTTGAATTACTTTTACTTACAGCTACATTTTCATCAGAAAGTCAATTTCACCTCGCCATAAATCAGGAGAAATGTGTCTTCTAGAATGGGTGGATTATCAATACATCCTAGACTTGTCTTCAGTTTTCTACAGGTGCTTGGAAAGCCCACTTTAATCATACAAGTCGACTGAATAGTAGTCACAATACTGGACCAAAGGCTTATTATTTCTAATTTTAGAAAATGTGCCGAAAAAAATGTAAAGATCGTTATTCATAGTGACATTTACGGGTTTTCTCAAAATGTCACTATAAAAGACGTTTTAAAGTTTTCTCGGAATTTTGGAGTTCTCTTTTAACTTCTGGGTGCCTTTTAAAGTATTTTAAGATGAGTTGAGAATTCGAATGTTTTTCACCGCTTGCCCCACCACTTCCCAGTTGTTAACTGATACTTATATATATATTCCTAACACACAGATGCGACGTCTGTAGCGTTTTTGCTGTTTTGTCAGTAACTGACTAATATCCTTTAATCAGTAATTTATTATTTCGTATCGAACAAATCGTGCATATGTAATCAAATAAACGATTTCTCACATAAAACATGATTAATTAATGTATTTAGAAAATGTTTGCTTGTTTTATTCTCTCCCATTAAGTTCTATTTGTGTCAATGTGTGCTGTTCGAATAAATGTAATCAAAAAAGTGAGAGAAGTTGTTTTACCAAACTGATCCAGGGTTTTATCTGAAAGTAAGACATTTTCTAACTTCTTATGTTTCTATCACCAAAGCAAATGCTAATTGACTTTTAGATAGCTAAAATGCAGCTTTGGCTAACGTTAAGACTATGTTCTCTTCTTCTTTTCTTTCTTTTCTGTTTTGCAGTTGTTTTCCAAATTCTTTCTGTTCTTGCGCAACTCTTGCACAACTGTTGCTTCTTTCTTGTACTATATATAGCCGTGCACTTTATGCAAATAAATATGATAAGTGAGTGAGTAGAACCTCACAATTGGAGCACTAGCCGGCCGGTCGTCTTTTCCATCACGATGCGGTGCGGTTCGAGTGATGAAAGATTTATTTGGTTCAGAAGTTTGACCTGGTCTTCTGATCATCGTCAATCGTCGACCAGGCAAATCACAAGACAATGAAGAAGAAACGGCACAATGGCGTAATGCGTCGTATGTTTACTCAAGGGATGGTAACTCTCCTCTTCGAGTAATTTGACGATTGGTCTTTGGTGGTGTCAACCAAGAGGCTTCAAATGAATGACTTTGCCTAGACCAACTACACTGTCGACATTTAGGCAAGTCAAAGCAACTTCGAGGGTGGCAACTCGAAGGTCAAACGAGCACTTAGCCTCCACGATCAAGCAAATTCGGCGATAGGGGTAAGTCCTGCTTTCGGTGACAATTAGAGCTGTGTTGACATTCGCACAAGTCCAACGAAACGGTGGTGCGACCTTGAGTAGTGGCAGCTTGAGGCTCGAAATGGGAACTTCGCCTCGACAAGAAATATTTCGGTGATAAGGGCATTCCCAGTCCACGTGTTTGACAAGACGGGTGGCCAAGACAGGCTTCAATGTCCAAGGATAAGGAGCTGACCATGTGCATATGTACTATTTCCGTTTGTTTTCATGTTTGTTCCTATTTTTTTGTGCTTTTTCTTTGTTTTTTTCTCTGGGATTAACTTCTTCGCCCTAGTCATTGTACTAATGATTTTTTTGATGCGCGAAAGGCGCATCTTTGTTTGGTTGGGCGGGTGTTACGATCTGCCATTCCTGGCAGCTCATAAGACTATGTTCTTTTTTTTTCCTTTCTTTTCTGTTTTGCAGCTATTTTCCAAATTCGTTCTGTCCTTGCGCAATACTTGCGTCATCCTCTGGTTTTCTCAACTCTTTCTGTTCTTGCACAACTGTTGCTTCTTTCTTGTATTATATATAGCCGTGCACTTTATGCAAATAAATATGATAAGTGAGTGAATAGAACCTCACAGCTAATGCTGTAGCATTTTTGGCCCACGAAAGCAATTGTTTCAAAGAAAAGACAGTGCCAGTCATAATTTGTCATGATTCACAGAGATTTATATTATAAAGCATATTTGTCGAATTTTCTAGTTTTTCCGAGTAACCATAATCCTCTTTTGTTACTTGTTTACACAGTCAAATGGCAATTATATAGCCCATAAGGAGAGGAACATATAGTTGAACTAGATATATCGAATGTACCATCATAAGTTTTTCCTCCTTTTGATATTATCGGTTTTCATCCCTGTTAGAGTAGGTTCGGGTAATTCTAGACAGTCTTTTTAATTTTTATAGTATTGTGAGCACACCTGAAGCATTTTTATCCGGGAAAAAATGACACCTCACAAGTGGACAGACTGAATATTTCTCTATCTACTAATGTAAAAAACTTGTTAAAGCTCAATAAGATTAA